CTCATAAATATTGGATAGATTCTTCCTGCTGCAGTTTGAAGCTATATTTCCCCACGGCCAGCACTGACCAGATCTGTTGAACAGCTGGTCAGCATTAGGCCTCTGAAAAGTGCGTGTTGGTAGTCACTCTGTCACTGCTAGATTGCTCTTCTCCAGGCTCTGTTGTTGTCACGGTGGACGGCCACGTGGGCTTTTGCACCAATCTGGCCCTGGCCGGTTGGGAGTTCCTGCTCTGCCTGTGTCCAGGTCATCTTCCAGCCTGTGAAGTCACTTTCCTGCAATTCAGCAGGTGTCTGTGGAGGGCTTCCCGTGGGCTACTGTTTCAGGCCTCAAGTGGACAAGGTTTCGTGAAGGATGGAGTACTTACTGAAAAGTCACATGAAACAAAAAACTAATGTAACAAGTGGTGAGATGCACTGAGGTCTTAACCTGCTGCTAGGGTGCAGACTTCCAGCTCGGAGCCCTCGTGTAGTTTTGAGTCCTGGCCTTCGTGTTTCCGGGAGCATCTGACAGTCCCTGGGCGTGGGGAGCTGGAGGCCAGCGGGGTGTGCACGCGCGTTGGCTTGGCAGGTCTGAACTTGGGAGAGGCCCGGAGGCCTGCCCCTTGAGGTCATGCCTAGACCTTGATGTTGAAGAAAGTAAACAGATGCAAAGGCTCCCTCTGGTCAGCCAGTTGTGAAGGTCTAGGAGGCGGTAGCTGGGAGCTTCTCTGGCCACTTTTAGCTCCCTCAATTTGGGGGGGGGAGAAGATTCATGGAGCAAAGACCAATCGTTCAGGTTTTGAACTTCAAAAGGTGGGATTCGTGCAGTCTAGTTGCAGTGTCAGAGTTAGGATCTGCAACCCCACGGCTGGTCCCTCTTTCTGTGGTGTAGAGTGCTGCCCACTATAAGGTACAGGCCAATCACAGAGCAGGCTCCCCTTCAGTGCATTAACTGGGTGCTGGCCTCAGTTCTAATAGGCTCTGATGAGCTATTGGATTTCCTGCTGGTGCTCGAGGGGAAAATCTATTTGACTTTTTTCTCCCCAATCTAAAATATATGGGATAAACTCAAGCAGGAGACTTGTCTTTGGCCCTATTAGAAGAACTTATTTCCAGGGCTGTTTCTTCCCTTCTTTTTTTTATTTTTTTATTTTTATTTTTTTTTATTTATTGGTTGTTCAAAACATTACAAAGCTCTTGACATATCATATTTCATACATTAGATTTAAGTGGGTTATGAACTCCCATTTTTACCCCAAATACAGATTGCAGAATCACATCGGTTACACATCCACATTTTTACATAATGCCATATTAGTAACTGTTGTATTCTTCTCCTCTTAAAGTCACTGAACCCTCCAGTGTAGATGCACAATACCAACGAGCACAGGGAAGGATGTCACTCATCAGGGAAATGCAAACAGCAGTGGAATACTGCAGTGGATATCACCACCACCCACGAGGGCACTGCTATCAGAAAAAACAAAAACCCAAACAAACTAAAATCCCAGATATTAACAGGTATTGGCAAGAATGAGGAGGAATTGGAGCCCTGCTGAACTGTCAGTAGGAATGTCAAATGGTACAGTGCTGCTGTCATAGAATGACCTGATGATCCAGCACTTTCACATCTGGGTATGTGTCCAAAAGAATCGAAAGCATGGTCTCAAAGCTGTCTTTGTCCACCCATGTAACAGCATTATTCACAATAGCCAGGAAGTGGACGCAGTCCAAGTGTCTTTTGGTGTAGGTGAATGGATGGATGGATGAATCGTGGTGAATACATACGGTGAAATGTTTTCGGCCTTAACAAAGAGGCCATTCTGACACATGCTCTACAGGAATGAACCTCGAGGACATGGGTGTGTGAAATAAGCCAGTCAGACTGACAGACCTTGTGTGGTTCTATTACACGTGGAACCTGGCGTTGTCAAATTCATAGAGAGCGGAAGTAGAACGGTGGGAGCCAGTGGCTGGGGGCCAGTAGAGTGTGGGAAGCGGCTGTTCCGTGGGTGTAGAGCTCAGTTTTGCAAGAACAAAAGACTTCTAGAGGTGGATGGTGGCCACAGGAGCACAACAGCACGAACCCACTGAGCACTACTGAACTGTACTCTTGACAAATGGGTAAGATGGTGCATTTCATGTTAGGCACATTTCACCACAATGACCAATTGCATCTAAAAAAGAACTGAATGGTCACTCCTGAGCCCTCACCATCCCGTGCTTTGTGTCTACAGACAAAATCTAGGATCTGTGTTGGCCACGGATGCTGCCAGATGCAGCCACCAACACAGCTCTTCTTTCTCCCCATCAGAAGCCCCTCTGTCCCCTCCAGGGCCAGCCTCCTAGCCCTACTAACGTGTTCTGGAGAAAAGCTTTGCATGTCATCCCTGAGGTCAACCTCTGTAAGGGGAGCTGTCTTGGCCAAGGGCTGGTCGCTGTGGTTTAACATTTGGGGTTTGTTTTTACTGCTTAGTGGAGTGGAGAACAATGAAGTGCTGTCCCGCCAGGGGGTGCCCCTGCAGTCCTGTCCACAGGAGTCTGAGGGTTGTTTTTCTGGAAGTGCTGACAGATGAGCCAGGCATGACTCACTCCAGCCTCACCTGCCCTCCCCTCAAATAAAGGCAGGCCTTTGACTGCAGACCAGGCGTGGGCTTGCTGGCCTTGACGAGATTGGATGGACAGTTCTGGCTTCTTTGCATCTTCCAGACAACCTTGCTGAATCCAGCAGTCCATAGACGTTTATTATCTTGACAGCGATTCCAGACATGAGTTGCTTCTTCAGATAATCTACGTTAAAACCTGTTTTTCCTTTCCGGGAGCTTGGTACACAGTGCTTGATGGAGTTTGTTCACGTTTCTCTTTTTCAGGATCTCTTCATGGACTCGCTTCCCGTGCTTGTTAAATGTGCCGCGTTGCTCCCAAGACCATGTAAAACCTGCTGACCTTTAATCTCCTCAGAGCAAGAACGAGGCCGCAGGTAACCCAGCTCTCCTGCGTGGGGCTCGTGTTGAGTGTGTAACTGTGAGTAATAGGTACACCTTCAATTATTTGGTCCAGTGATTTGAATTTAAAATGTTTGGCTTTGGGGGCTGGGGTGGTGGCTCAGTGGTAGAGTGTTTGCCTAGCACGCATGAGGCACTGGGTTCAATCCTCAGCACCACATGAAAATAAATAAATAAAATAAAGGTCTATTAACAACTGAAAAAATTTTTAAAAAAATGTTTGGCTTTGCCAGTCTACTTGGCTTCTGTTTTGTGGCTGTACGTTCTTATATATGAAATTGAAAACCTGAATTATTGGGAAAACTACCGGGAAGCGTCAGCTCCACCTTGACTCAAATAGCGACGGGCCGTTAGAATGGAAAGCGGGAAGTTTGGAGCAAATTTCACTTTGCATTTTGCCTTAGGATTAGCGTCCTTGAGCTAACGGGGACTGCATGGGGAGTTAAAAGACCCTAATACTTTTTTTCTGGTTGATGGCCACATTCTTATGAGCCAGCTTTAGACCTTTTCCCCTGTCCTTCTCTTTCTTTGTGGTGCTGGGAATGGAACCCCGGGGCTCTCACCTGCTAGGTAAGTGGCCTCCGCTGAGCCACATCCCAGGCCTTCCTCAAAGTGGGGATGCCTGAAGTCTTTAGAGATGCCCAGGGTGAGTTTTATTAAAATGTTTTTCTGTCCCTCTCTTGTTTTATTTTAGTCTTATTTATTTATTTATTTATTTATTTTGGATAATGGGAATTGAACCCGGGGTGCTCTACCTCTGAGCTACATCCCCAGCCCTTTTAGTTTTTATTTTCAGAGCTTCTTGCTAAGTTGCCCAGGCTGGCCTTGAACTTGAGATCCTTCCGCCCTCCTTCCGCCCTAGCCTCCTGAGAAGCTGGGATAATGAGGGGGGGGCTAGGTATGCAACCTGATTTTGGAGGACTAATCCTTTACTTGGGTGGTATTCCTAGCTTTGTGATCCATGAAGACTTTGCAGAGCCTGCTACGTGGGGTTGTGTTACCATAAATACAGGAGTTTTTGAGCAGTGACCTTTTTATACAACTGGCATCCGTATCTATGCCTTTTGCACCCATGAGTTCAGCCAGTGGCAGGGTGAATATATTTTTAAAAAAATTGCTTCTAGCCTGGTGCTGTGGCACATGCCTATAATCCCAGCTCCTGGGGAGGCTGGTGCAGGAGGATCGTAAGTTTGAGACCAGCCTGGGCAACTTAGTGAGGCCTGATCTCAGAATAAAAAAATGGGCTGGAGTGTAGCTCAGTGATGCAATGCTTGCCTAGTATATGTGCAGCCCTGGGTTCAGTCCCCAATGAAGAGAAAAAAGCACCTATACTAAACACCTACAGACTGTTTTCCTATCATGGTGTAACAACTATTTACATAGCATTTACATGACATTAGATATTATAAATAATCTAGAGATGATTTAAAATGTTTTTGAGGAGGTGTGTAGTTTATGCACAAATACTAAGCCGTTTTATATGGGGACCTGGAGCAAGCTCAGATTTTGGTGTCTGTGGGGATCCTTGATTCAGTTCCCCAATGTTGTGATGAGTTGTTAGCTCTTCCAATAATGAATGTGTAATGAAAATGTATCTTGCTGATCACTGAAGCCTTTGTCTGGTCTGACAGAGTAAAGGAACTTTCCCTTCATCTTTGTCTTCAAGAACCATTATTCAAAACCTGCCAACATCAAGCATGAAGGAGGTCTTTGCCTTCAGCTGATGTTTATACCTATTCAACTTTTGAATTTATGTCATGCCACAGATAATTTATTTAAAATTACTAGCACACAAGTTTCCATTATTGTTTATGTGGCTAATGAGCAGCTTCTCACAATGAGGAGAGCCAGTTGAGTAAGCAACTCTTGTCTCTGCTCCGAGTCATGCCAGGCACAGACAGAAGTTGATGGTTTCCTGTGTAATGTGTCAGGTGTTATTTTTGAGAAAATTTTGTCATAATGAGATGTAACTAGCTTATGGCTCTTAACGATGCAACTATTCTTAATTTAGGTTAAAATGGGGAACTCCGAGAGTCAATACACCCTTCAAGGATCTAAAAATCATAGCAATACTATTACTGGTGCTAAGCAAAAGCCTTGCTCCCTGAAAATACGCAGCATTCATGCAAAAGATGAGAAGTCGTTGCATGGATGGAGTCACGGAGGTGGTGGAGCAGGTTACAAGTCCAGGTCCCTGGCCCGGAGCTGCCTTTCTCACTTTAAGAGTCACCAGCCTTATGCATCAAGACTTGGGGGACCCATGTGCAAACTCTCCAAAGGCACTGCCTACTCCAAGCACAGGGCGAGCGCCCCAGGAAATGATTTCCAGGGCCACAGTGCTGCTTTCTCACCTGAGAATGGCTTCCACTATGTTGGCCATGAGCCGGCGGATAACCACATCACCTCGAGAGACTGCAACGGACACCTTCTCAACTGCTACGGGAGGAACGAGAGCGTGGCCTCCACCCCACCAGGGGAAGACCGCCGGAGCCCCAGGGTGCTCATCAAGACCCTGGGGAAGCTGGATGGGTGTTTAAGGGTGGAGTTCCACAGTGGCGCCAACCACAGCAGAGGGCCCGCAGGGGACCCCAGTGGACCTGTGCAGCTGCTGAGATACTCGCCCACCCTGGCCCAGGAGACCTCCCCTGTGTCCGAGGCCACAAGGGACTCCAGTGCCGGCTCCCCCGCCAGCCAGCGCCCTTCTCCCACCGACTCTCACCTGCGCTCCAGCAAGGGCAGCTCCCTGAGTTCCGAGTCGTCCTGGTACGACTCCCCCTGGGGCAACGCTGGGGAGCTGAGCGAGGTGGAGGGCTCCTTCCTGGTCCCCAGCACGCCCGATCCCAGCCTCCCCATCAGCTTCCCACCAGGTGATGCCAAAAAGCCTTTCAACCAAAGCTCTTCCCTGTCCTCCCTCCGGGAACTGTACAAAGATGCCAACCTGGGGACCCGCTCCCCCTCCGGCATCTGCCTTTCCGATGAGTACATCGGCTCCCACACCTGCCTAAGCAACCGCGTTTCCTTTGCCTCCGACATTGACGTGCCCTCCAGGGTGGAGCACCGGGACCCTGCCCAGTACGGTTCCTTCACCCTCCCCTGCCGCAAGTCCAGAGCCTTCACCGAGGACACTGCCAAGAAGGACACCCTCAAAGCCAGAATGCGACGGATCAGCGACTGGACCGGAAGCCTGTCGAGGAAGAAGAGGAAACTCCAGGTGAGGCCCCCTTGGGGCAGAGAGACGGCCCCGAGTGTCCTGTCTGTCAAATGGGAAAGGTATTAGGAGGCACTCAGACGCCTGGGGAGCCAGCTACACGGGGGAGTCTGGCCTGAGACCTGGCCCGTGTTTCCAGGGTCTGTCTGTCTTATTTACTGCAGATGTGTGTCATCACTCGTAGCCTGTGACCTCGGACTCTCCATGTCTGAGTCCCCTCAGGCTGCAAACTAGGTACCTCTGCCTGGCCGGCTCCAACTGCAGCTCTGCTTGCCACAGTTCTGGGGGCTGGGAAGACGGATGGGGGTGCCAGCGTGGTCAGATTCCAGGGAGGGCCCTCCTCCTGGTGCAGGTGGCTACCTTCTTGCCAAGTCCTTGGGTCACAGGGAGAGAGGGAGCCTAGTCTGTTGTTAGCAGGTCACTGATGCCATTGAGGCTCTGCCGTCACGGCCTCCTCTAAGCCCAGTCCCCTCCCCCAGGTCCTACCTCCCAAACCCCTGCAGTGTGTGAGGGCTTCACGGGGGACTTGGGGGAGGCACCATTCCGTCCACAGCTCCAGGTTCTGTGCCTGACTCCATGGTAGCCCCACAGGAGTGACCGTAACGACTGGACAAACTGTCCTTAGGTCGGAGCTGGAGGGAATTCCTGAAGCATCGGAGGATTTTGCTGGACTTCCTTCTTTAAGTCCAAACAAAAAGGATGAGGATGATTATCATTATTTTCTGGATAACTAGGCTTTCTGAACTTTTTATTACTTGAAAAAATAAAAGTTTCTATGTTTTAATCAGAACGTTAAAGAAAAAAGAAAAGGAAGAAGTTGTTAGGGTAGTATACCTGTGGGCGAAATCTGGCCTCTTGCTCATGGGGGTAGCTAGGCACTTTTGAAAGCATCTTATAGCTAAGTACAAGTAATAGCAAAAATATAATGCTGATATGATAAGAATGATAATGATGATGATGCTGCTGCTGATACTTTTAATGATATATGAAGTTTTTTAAAAATATTTTTTTAGTTGTTGATGAACCTTTATTTTATTTGCTTATTTATATGTGGTTCTGGGAATCGAACGCAGTGCCTCACACGTATGAGGCAAGCACTCTACCACTGTTACAACTCCAGCCCCGACATATGAAGTTTTAATGTGTCAGCAAAGTGGTTAGCCACCAGGAAGGAGAGCGATCCTTTTTCAGTAACTGGTGACAATTGCTAGGTTTTCGGGTTGTGGATGTTTCGGTCACTTTTACTTTTAATAACAGAAGGGAGAAAGCTTCCCGCCTCCCGCCCCCACCGTCACTTTGTGTAAGTGACAGAGCTGAAGAGAGCTGGACTGGGCAGTCAGTCTCCAACAGAATCAGGTCTCATCCATCCTAGACAGACAAGTATAAGACTCGTAGAGCTTCAGGAATAGGAAATAACATGACTGCTCTGAGTAGGCCGTTTCAGCGTCACTAAGCTTACCCTAGCTATGCCCCTCTTGTGTGTGATGTCCACTGTCATCGCTCCTGTACGGTGCTCGCCTGCCCGTCTCCTCCCCATTGAGACGAGGAACAGAAGGTCCCCTGCCTGGCTCCAGGGCCTCCTCTTATCCCTGAATATAGTAATTAGCTTCCTCCTTAGTCATCACTTCCTGGCCTAAACCACTAAACTGAGCAGTTACCATCCAGAATACTGTAAGTCACTCTGGACAGGAGAAGAAAACAATCTGTGTGCTGAATTTTAAAGCTTCTGCTTGGAAGTGACACATTTGACCTCTCACATTTATTGGGCAGAGTGAGACTCATGGCCCTGATAACTTCAAGGGAGGCGGGGATGGGAGCGGCCCAGGGGAGGACCAAGAATATTTGGAGGGTACACTGGCAACTGCTGCAGATTTATCACGGCCCAGCTGAAGAACACAGTCCCCCAGCGTTTCTCGGAGTTCTAAGTCCAAGAACTACAGCCACAATGTTGTCTCAGGGAGTTTCTACAGAGAACGCGTGGTTCTTACTAATAGAGAAAAATGGCAAGTGAACAATTACAAGGTATCAATTTAGTACTGGCTCCTAGGATGTGAGGAAAGGCCACCGATTTTCCTTTAGCTTCTAAGGAGTTAAATCCTCCATCCCAGCCTATTGGGGTAAAATCGACAAATAGAATTTGTGTGTGTTCAAAACACACACCTTGATAATTTGAAATGCAGGTACGTTGTGAAGTGGACACCGTGAACAGGCCTGTTGACACTCTTGAACTTCACAGAGTTGCCTGATTTTTTTTTTTTTTTGAGTCAGAAGATGTCTTGGCAAATTTCAAGAAGGCAAACCAATTTTATTAGTTGCAATAGTGTATGTTAAATCTCTAGAACCAATTCATCTTGTGTAACTGAAACTTGTACACGTTGACCAACTTCTCCCTGTTGGTCTGCCTTCTGGCCCTGGAAACCTTTCTGCTCTGCTTCTATGAGTTTGACTATTTTGGATCATGCAGGGTCATCTTTCTGCTGAGTGACATCTCTTGACTCCCTCTCTATTTTGGCTACAGTTCCCTGGCCATCAAGAATATATTAGTCATTGTTTGCGACTATCTGATTGGGCAGAAACAGAAATCATATGCCTTAAGTACATATATAACAAGCTCTATGGTTTCACAAGGACGAGGAATTCTGTCTGAACTTATTTAAAAAAATATTTGATTTTTTTAAAAAGGCCCTGTTTTAGCCTGAAAATTTATGATGGATGGGCTATTAGGATTATAGGATTAGAAACTGGTTAGACACTAGGGAAATTCGCACCTATATATAAAAATCAGTTATAAATATGAATGTGCACTAAGGAGAATTGCTTCACTGTGGTTGGATGTTGAACAGCCCTACAACTTGAAGTCTCTATCTAACGAGAATCAACAAGAGTGTTTATAAGTCACATGTAACTTTGGCACTTGTGTGCTTTTCTCTGGCAGAGTCCTGCTTGTTTTGAAACGCCCTATTGTGGCTCTTGCAGGGTAACAGAGTAGTCCCAGTGTTTTGGGGCAATGAGTCAGAGAGTCATATTTGTAGCTGAAATGATGTTAATGCTAGCTAAGAATTCCTTCATCTGTTAGGAGTTTTGGAAGTTCAACAAAGTGACAAAAATCTGAAAGTATTTTGAAAGTTTCCTAAGTGACTCACAGCGGCTGCTTTATTTGCTTTGTTCTACACAGGCATCAATGTATAAATAAATATGACGATGGGACAGAGTGTAAACACAGTGGGAAATAATATTTTCATTACTAATAGCTGTGTTTGGGGCTCGGTTGTTTATAGCTCCTGGGCATTTAGAAATATTCTTCAGTTGCATGATCATGATTTTCTTACAAAAGGCAAGTAAATGCTACTAGTTTTCTGGATGAAATTTTTTTATATCATATTTATTTTTATGTGGTGCTGAGGATCGAACCCAGCGCCTCACACGTTCTAGGCCAGCACTCTACCACTGAGCCACAGTCCCAGTTCCTGGATGAAATTTTTGAAAAAAGAATCTGTCCACACAGAGGAATATTCAAAATAATCCCTTTAATCAATGGTTCTTGGCCCAGTTAGCCCCACTTTTATTTTAATATGTAGGGAAATATTATTGAAAGCCCAGTTGTAGTTGAGTGGACTTGAATGTATTTAGCTTTCTCTGCCATTGCCTATCTAAGCTATGAATATGGAATAACTGTACCTTTCAGGTCAGGAGTTAAGTTCACTTTTGGCTGAATAAGATAGTACTCAAGTGAAAAGATGTAAATAAATGCATTTTTTTTCCAATGAAAGAAATTCCCCAATTAAGTAAAAAATATGAATTATGGAGAAAAACTATAATTACTGGCAGTACCCTTGGTGGATAAGGAATCCTTGGGGTGTGGTATTTAATATAGGAATTGGGAAAATAACCTAGAGATCCTTAAGTCCAAAGTCTAGACCTGGACAATTGGCCAGAAGCTGAGGACAGTTCATCACAGAAGAGGAAGAGAAGTTTGCGTGGTTTTACACAATAACACCAACATCTCTATTCCCCACCCTGCCCTGGAAACGGTGACTGTATAACTTAAGTTTTTAAATAATATAGGTTGAAAATAGATTGCAAGAGTGTGAATTCTTTCCTGGAAGTCATTGATTTCACAGTTAAAAAAATAAATAAAAAGAAATATCATTCTAGAAATTTTCACTAGTGGGTTAACTCTACCAGTTAGTTTCTTGATGCTCAGCGCAGGTTAGATACAGGAGAGTCTGTGGTATTTATTGACCTCTCTAATTGTCTGTGCTGCTGATAAATATTGGCTTGGGCAGCCCCATTCTTATGAAGCGCTCTACCACTGAGCTACATACCAACTCCAGGCAACATGGTTTCTAAACTTCTTTCTGTCTTGAAGATACGATGATTAAAAATGTATTCTTTTTATAAGAATTTTATTGTAAGAATTAGCTACTACCCATATGATACTGAGGCTGTGTAGAGGGGGAATACTTTAGGTGCTGGGACCTCTGATGCATGATCATTTGTATTTGCACAGGAGCCACGGTCCAAGGAGGGCAGCGACTACTTTGACAGCCGCTCTGAAGGGCTGAATGCAGATGTGCAGGTGCCCCCTCCGGGCTCTGCGCTGCTGTGGCCAGGGGGCTCAGCTCACGTCCTGTCTCAGAGGAGCGAATCTGCTCATGCGATTGGTAGTGATCCCCTGCAACAGAACATTTATGAGAATTTCATGAGAGAGCTGGAAATGAGCAGGACCAACCCAGAGCACATAGAAACATCCACGGAGACCGTCGAGTCCAGCAGCGAGTCACTCAGCTCCCTGGAGCAACTGGATCTGCTGTTTGAGAAGGAACAAGGAGTGGTCCGGAAAGCCGGGTGGCTCTTCTTCAAACCCCTCGTCACTTTGCAGAAGGAGAGGAAGCTGGAGCTGGTGGCACGGAGGAAGTGGAAACAGTACTGGGTAACTCTTAAAGGTGAGTGCCCTGTGACCTGCTGTGGGCGGCAGGTGGCCCCGTCTTCCCCTGTGCTTGCCTGGGAAGTGCCAGTGAGGTCGGCGTAGACTGGAGCCAGCGGGCAGGGCTTCCACGCAGAACCTCACGGCGTGCTTCACCACAAGCACTTTGCCAGACCTGTATAAAATGGTTCACTTACTATTTGTGTTTAGTATTCAGTCTAACAAATAATTAGTTCATTTAAAAGCGATTGCTTATCATTTTATATGCATTACTGTACCACTCTTTGATAGTGTTCCTACTTCTTGGGAAAGAAAAACAAAAATAAGACCCAAACCAAACTAAATGAATTGCTAAATGTAGTTCAGAAATTTCATATTTTACATACATTCAGAATTTGACAGTGATTCTTCCTAGCTTGAATACCAACTGGATTATTGGATTTCTATCATTCCATGTTTATGAACTAAGAAAGTGTAATTGTTATCCCCAGTGCAACAACTTGCATTCCTTTTTCTTTCTTTCTTGTTTTTTTTTGGTCTTGAGAATTGAACCTGGGGCTTTGACCGTGCGTGATAAGCCTGTGCTTTACCACTGAGCTATACTCTCAGAGCAGTCTTTCTTTCTTTCTTTTTATTGTTAATTCCCGCCCAGGGCCTCACACATGCTAGGCACGCCCTCTACCACTGAGTTATAGATATTGTGTCCATCCACAACTAAAAAAAATATTGAAAAAAACAAAAGAAAATCAGAATTGCTTTGCTCCTCGTAGTTGTGTGGAGCTGAGAAATCTGAATGAGGAGGTACGGTGCCCTCAATCAACACAGAGCTGATTGACACAGAGGCAGACAGGAGGACAGCCTCGCCACCCCAGCATTTCTGTGGAGCCCCCCCCGTGCCTCTGTCAGAGGAACGAGTGTGACATTACAAGTCAGACCTCCTCAGGTGACACCGTACCCTACCCAATCACAGAAGAGGGCAGCCGCATCTATAGCTAGTAGGTGTGAAATGCCCAGAGCCCTCCGAGGTGCCCCTTCCTTGCTTTCCTTTGCCCCATATTTAGATACCCACAGCCTGGGAGGGCAGGCCTCATTATTGGATGACCAGTGAGCCCCCCCTGGTAAATGGGCACCTATGGAGGCACTTTCCCTGTAAGTTACACTTTTTCCCCAGTGAAGGAGCTGTGTACC